CACCATCCAGCTCCACAGATACTCCGCGTACTAAAGTTGTACTACAAGAGCCGCCAGTTCTCAGCTTCCAGCTCGCCAGATGCTGTGCCTGCCACGAAATCTGCACATGGAGGTTCACAAAGTGCTGTGCCTGCCACGAAATCTGCACATGGAGGTCCACAAAGCGCTGCACCTGCCACGAAATCTGCACATGGAGGTTCACAAAGTGCTGCACCTGCCACGAAATCTGCACATGGAGGTTCACAAAGCGCTGTGCCTGCCACGAAATCTGCACATGGAGGTTCACAAAGTGCTGTGCCTGCCACGAAATCTCCACATTGACGTTCACAAAGTGCTGCGCCTGCTGGAGGTTCACAAAGTGCTGCACCTGCCACGACATCTGCACATGGACTCACAAAGTGCTGTACCTGCCACGAAATCTGCACATGGAGGTTCACAAAGTGCTGTGCCTGACATGAAATCTGCACCTGGAGGTTCACAAAGTGCTGTGCCTGCCACGAAATCTGCACCTGGAGGTTCACAAAGTGCTGCGCCTGCCACGAAATCTGCACATGAAGGTTCACAAAGTGCTGCGCCTGCCACGAAATCTGCACGTGGAGGTTCACAAAGGGCTGTGCCTGACATGAAATCTGCACCTAGGTTCACAAAGCGCTGTGCCTGCCCACGAAAATCTGCACCTGGAGGTTCACAAAGTGCTGCACCTGCCACGACATCTGCGCATGGAGGTTCACAAAGTGCTGTGCCTGCCACGAAATCTGCACATGGAGGTTCACAAAGTGCTGCGCCTGCCACGAAATCTGCACTTCAAGAGACAAGTGAAAACCTAATCACAATGGACGGCCGACGGACCATGACCCGAGACCGTCTCGCAACCGTCGTTCCGCAGAGCTAGACTTGCCAGGTTCGAAGCCACCGGTTCTATTGAAAAATACAGCATTTCGTGCGTCCGCTATCTCTCGAAAACGCATTTTGTATTGCACCTGCCACGAAATCTGCACATGGAGGTTCACAAATTGCTGCACCTGCCACGA